TTTTTTTTTTTTAAAGTTGATTTAAGATATGTATAATGACATACTAAAAGTCCTCATCAATTGGACTTAAGCTTTTTTTTTACAGCCTCGCAAAAGTTCAAAAATATGAGCTTTTTTAATTTTTTCAAAAAATATTCAACTTTCAAAAAAAAGTTTCGTACAAAAGTTGTTTAAAAGACAATTTTAAACAAAAATGATATCTTATATTTTTTCATTTAAACAAATATTTTTCGAGTTACATTACATTTAATATGAGTACTAAAATTTATTTTCCAATTTTTTTCATTTTACGGTTACTTTTTATCATATTATACTTACATTAGACACAATGTTATAAATGCTTATGTGTGTATGTGTGGATTTATTTATTTAGAGTATCATTAAAGTGTAGTGTATATTAAGATATAACCGATAGAGTAGGAAATTGATTTGACGCTATATTGTTTAAACCCAACTAAACACTAAATTATACATTCCCAAACAACAATTATATTATGTCCATTGCCACCGGAATTTCTGCTAATAATAAAGATAATTGTCATTAAACAGCCTTTAGTTAGGTGCTGGAGCTAGTAAAAATTGTGGCTGCCGAAAAACAGGGCTTAAATGTTTTATTATATGTGAACATTGCAAAGGTCAATGGCGTACAAAGTCTATAGAAATAAAGATCGAAGATTAAGAAAATTATACTTTTGTTGAATATATATTCTATCAAAATTTAGAATGGGAAAATGAATAAGAAATTTTGTAAAAAAATTTGTTTTGATACATTTGTCAAATAACTTTATAGTAGAGAAATCCTCCATCGATTACATACTTTGCACTATTAATGCATATAACTTGTATTTAGGATATAAATAAGTAAATAGGAGATCATGTAGCTTTTGTAATAATCCATTAAAATGTTAAAATTAAACATTATCTACAGATCTGCATCAAGGCGTTGTTTTTTGATAATGATTTAAATCACTGTCACATATCATTTATACTGCACCCAATTATACACACTGTGCCGAAACACTGCTGTTTTTTTTTTTTTAATAGCGATTAGTTGAAATAGTAGCAAGGGGTTTACTTTAATTATTTCATTATTAATTTTAACAATAGAAGTTATTGAAGAACAGTTATAAGTTTAGTCGACCTTTTAAGATTTATATCATGAAAGTTATTATCCACCATTGAATTTAATAGAACAAGACCAATTTTAGACACTTTGAGACAATTAATTTTATGATGACCAGAAATTCTGGCTGGGTTGACAAAAGATAACATAAGGTAAGTAAAATGAGGAGATCAGTGACAATAGGCGAGAGTGTGAATGGGGAGATAGAAAATTTCAAGTATTTAGGATCAATAGTGCAAAAGAGCAGTGGTATTGACGAGAATGTAAGACACAGGATTAAGTGGTGGTACGGGCTCTCAAAGGTACCGGGAAAATATGCAATGGGTGCACAGGTGAGATGCATTCCGTCATAGTGACGTCACACCTGACCTACCGTAACCCCCCCTGGCCTCGGCGCCCGTGGGGACTGCATCCAGGTGCATCCAAGTGAATCTCGTGACGTCATCCCCCTAGTTGACGACGTCACATCATTGAACCATGACCAAAGGGGTAAGCCGCTATGACGTCATACCTGAACCTACTACAGCTGGACCGTTACACACACACATACACACACAATCCCTATGACGACGTCACGCTAACGCTAACTCTGTGCTATGAAAATGTGAGTCCTAGATGCTCTATCACGTCGCGATTGTGTCGTGCGCATTGACGCTTGTGCCCGACCGGTGCGAACGCGTCCTATGACGTCATACCTAAACTTTGTTATAGTGTAAGCTCTATGACGTCATACCTGAACCTACTACTACAGTTTGCTCATTACATTACAGCCTTATGACAACACGCTAACGTAACTCTATGCTATGATAAGGTGAGCCCAATGACGTGTCCTATCAAGCCGTGATATAAAAAAAAATATTTTATATTGTG